TTTGAATGATTTTATGCAATTTTGGTAAGTTTTTCCCTGCAATGTCAACAACAATGTCAACATTAGACGGTCTCCTTGACATTGTGGAGAAAAACTTACCAAAACTATATAAAATCATTCAAATAATGAGAGAAATAATTTATTTACTAATATTTATGTGGTCATTTTTCATGTCACGTGTGCACCGTACACATTGTACCATTGATGATGCTCTAAGATAGTTAAAGTAAACACACAAGCTGCCAGTTTTTTCCTAAAGGAGGGTAGTCTCCAATCTTATTTCCTAATTAAGAGTACTTTTAAACTTATTTATCAAATGAGGGTAGTTTTTTCCTTGTCATCCAATTTCCGCCACATCACCTACTCCACATCATTCACCGTCATCAATCATTTCACGTCATCGGCCATATGGGTATTCTTTTAAAATATAAAAAAATCCGTAGCCCCCGGGAATTGAACTCACGACCAAAACGATGGATTTTCATCTTGGAACCCACTAGGCTAGATTGACTTGTTGGTATAATCACACCTTTACAAGTATTTAACATCTATGTATGCAACGTATTTTGATATACGCAATTCAAATATAATTTAAAATAACTCTACATTAATTAAATAAAATGAGAAGCAAAAATGACAACGGCTGGACTCATTCATCCCATATTTAATAAAAAACAAATCTTATATTACTAATGCGTAAACGTGTAAAAATATAAATTCCATGACAAAAATAAAAAATCCAACACTGAAATACAATTTTTTACAATCACAATATAAGTATTTTACAAGTATATTGACATTTATTTGACATATGCTACATACTATATATTTAAGCACATGACATCACCAACTTAATTCATATATTAATCGTTCCTTTAGAGATATATGAGTCATTCTTCAAACAATTAAAGAATATGATAACATAACATTGAAAGAAGAATATGATAAATACTTAATTTGAGATATACAATTAAAAAATTAAAAATCAATTAAAAATTATAACAAAAACGTAATTTGATATATGCTATACAAGAATAACTTAAAATAAATCTACTCTAAATAAAATAAAAAATAAAAAAGATCAATATAGGCTCAAATCCATCTCAGACTTGTGAAATACTTATATTATGATTGTAAAAAAAATTGTATTTCAGTGTTGGATTTTTTTAAATTTTAGTCATGGAATTTATATTTTTACACGTTTACGCATTAGTAATATAAGATTTTTTTTATTAAATATGGGATGAATTAGTCCAGCCGTTGTCATTTTTGTTTCTCATTTTATTTAATTAATGTAGAGTTATTTTAAATTATATTTAAATTGCGTATATCAAAATACGTTGCATACATAGATGTTAAATACTTGTAAAGGTGTGATCGTAACAACAAGTCAATGTAGCCTAGTGGGTTCCAAGATGCAAATCCACCATTTTGGTCGTGAGTTCAATTCGTGGGGGCTACGGGTTTTTTTATATTTTAAAAGAATACCCATATAGCTGATGACGTGGAATGATTGATGACGTGGAATGATGTAGATTAGGTGATGTGGCGGAAATTGGATGACAAGGAAAAAACTACTCTCATTTGTTAAATAAGTTTAAAAGTACCCTCCTTTGGGAAATAAGATTGGAAACTACCCTCCTTTGGGAAGAAAAAAACTCCACAAGCTGCTTAAAAAGTTGTTTATTAACCGAAATAGATGCTTACCAAGCATACCACCCCCATATATTAAATAAGCGACACTTTAAACTTTTTTCAGTTTTCGAATCTATCCCTTACCCTAATCCCCTATTTTTACCCCTACCCCTACACCTACCCCTTGCCTCTACCCCCCCCCCCCTAACCTACCCTTCCTTACACATACCCCTACCCCCAGCCCTTACCTGCCCCCAACCATTAACCCCTTATCCCTTCCCCGAGTACATGTACCCTGCCCCACCTACCCTTACCCCCAACTTGTACCTACCCCCACTGACCGCCTAACTCGGCCCCTACCTCCTAGCCCTTAGCACCCTACCCTAACCATACCCCTTACCCCACCCCCACCCCTATCCGTCGCCATGGGGCGGGGCCCAAATTGAGAAGGGAGGGGGGCGAGCAAAAGCATAAAATGTAACATGAAATGTAATGTTAATATCAAAAGATGTATTGATATTTATAACAAAATGAAAAATATAATACAATAGCATGTCAATTGATATTTAGAACTTCTCTCTTACATGTCACAAAAGTCATCTATAATTAATTGTATATTATATATAAAATGGCTGAAAGTATTGCCACTAAAATATTCAACATGTTTTGATGCGATACAAACTTAAATTCTCGATTCTTATTACGTACTCAAGAATAATGATTTTGAATAGTAATATTTTTATTAAAAAGTGCATTTTGTGTAATAGAAAAGGTAAACATAATCTGTAACTCGTACGCCTTACACTTTCACCTATCCCAACTTTACCCTTTACCCTACCTTGACCCTTCCCCACCCTGATCCCTCAAGGGTACCCCCTTATCCCCTATCTCATACTCCTACTTGTACAGGGACAGAGCCACATATAGAGTTGTGGTGTCAGTTGACACCACTGAAATTTTTCTTTTTCATATACATATGTATATATAATTTTTTAAAAATTAAAACTTGACACCACTGAAATATAAAATTTAGGTAATCTACATTTAGGTAATCTTTCAAAAATTTAAAATTGACACCACCATTTAAAAATATAAATTGCTCAATAGAAGACCAAAAGATATACAAAGTTCAAAAATAAGATTGGGTATGTTTTACTCCCAAATAAGACTTATTTAGTCCTTTTAAAAGAATAAGTTGATTAAAACTTCTCAAAATATGAGTTATTGAGTCCTATTTTGAGAATAAAACATTGGTAATATTATTTAGAGAATTTTATCAATGTTTTAGTGGGGTCAATGTATATATTTTAAAAGTTGAACACTAATTTAAATATTAAAAAAAAAAAAGAGGAACAACTCTTACATCAACGGTCCAACTCCAAATTGTTGTAAAAATGAATGGCGGAATCACAGAAGAACCGATTGAATCGAATTGAATATGCTTTGATGAATGATGCCTTAGTTACTTTTATTGAAAAACATATACTATGTATTTAAAAGTGTTAACACAGAAAAAATTGTCCAACATTTTCAACATATGAAAACGAGCCGTGGATAGTTGTGAATTAGCACTTTAAATTTATTAATGACAATCTTTGTTTTATATCTATGCATACACAAAGCGTCGTGTTTTCGATAATTTATTTAACCGTCTTCTTGGTTGAATTTTTTGATGAAATTTTGTGGCGATGTTATCACTTTTCAAAGAATTCGATCCGGAATGCTCTCAAGCAAGCTTGGCCGGATGACAAATCTTGTTTGTCTGGACGCACTAGATCATTTCCATTGCTTTATATATGTACACATTATTATACGGAGTATAATATTATTTTTCTCAATTGACACCACTGTCATTAAATCCTGGCTCCGTCACTATACTCGATCGTACCCTTATCCCTACCCCCTACCTTGACCAGTAGGAGCGTACCCCTACCCCTGCCCCGACACAAGTTTGATCCGATCATATGTTGCTCTGTTTTGTTCCGTTGATGGCGTATTCTATCTCGTCGGAAAGATCTTATCGAGCGGCGCCGGTTTCGAAATATCAAGGGATGATTGCCTAATTTCAACAAGACTGTATTTATTTGTGACACTCATATCTTGCTGTGTGTTCTTCCGTTTAGAGTGTATTATATCTCGTAGGAAAGATAACTTTGAGTTATAAAGCTATTGTTCCAACTTCATTTACAATGCACTAAAGGCGTTTTCTATCTCGTTGGAAAGATCTTATCGAGCTCTAAAACTCATCTTCGAGATATAATACGCTCGAAACGGAAAAACACACAGCAAAATTAGGCAATCATCCCTTGATATTTTGAAACTGGCGCCTGCTGTGTGTTTTTCCATTTAGAGCGTTTATACCAGCAGTAAGGGCACCTGCAGTAGCCCTTGATTTATTCTTATCCTCCAAAAACTTTCCAGGAGTGGGCTGCTTGTTTGCAGTCCCAGAAATAGCACTTTGCTTCTCAATGGCACTGAGTTTGTCGTTCCCAGTGCCCTGCTTTCCAGCCGTAGGAGTAGCAGTGAGCTTGTCCTCCCCAGGATTAACAACCTGCTTAGAAGGCACAACAGATTCCTCAGGAACATTCTCAGAAGCTGGCAGATTCCCCGACACCTGCTTCCCAGGATTACCAGCGTGAAGGGTGGGGAAGTTAGCATCTAAACCTTCCAATACATTAAAACCAGAAGATGTTCTAGACCTGGTGTTCACAGAGGGAGTTTGCACACCCTTCCCCTGCTTCTTTCCGGCCATAACGCCCTTCCCTTATTTCCCCAAAATCGCAGAATAAGGAATCCAAGTCTGCGCCGATGAACAGTGCCAGAGCGAACGGACCACCGCCACCAGCAGACGAGCAGACCGTCAAAACAGATTCAGCCCAGCAACAATCTCGAATTACAGGAAATCAAGCAAAAAACCTCTTCAATCATCTCAAGTGCTTTAGGTCATCAGTCAGCTTCCCAGTTCGAAATCCAGGTACGGGTTTGAAAGGGGGGGTGAAATCCGACCTAAAACAGAAATCTAGTAGCTTCAATCCACCAAATCCATGGCGATGTACGTCCTTTGGCGCGGAAACGAGCTGGGTCGCAGATGCCCCAGGAGAGAACAGCTCTCAACGCTTCCCACAAAAGTTAATTTTGAGAGCAGCGTATTATATCTCATTGGAAAGTTAATTTTGAGTTCTAAAGCTATTGTCCTAAGGGTTAAGGGTGGGGTAAGGGTACCAGGTTGGGTAGGGGTGAGGGTGAGGGATAAGAGTAGGGTATAGGGGTAAAGTCGAGGTCAGGTAGGGGTCAAGGATAGGGGTAGGTATGGTCAGTGGCGGAACTAGAGAAAAGATTAAGCAAGGGCACAATCACAATAATGTAAATCATCACATTAATAATAAAACAATCTTAGCAAGTTGCACTAATAAAACATACCAAATTTAATCAAAAGGGTTAACATAATGGTGCTGAATCCAACCTACGGGTCCTCATGTTCTGAAAATGTTGGACAATAACCTCATTATCAATGTGTCTAAACACATCTCTTTCTATGTAGCAGACTACACAATCAGTAAGATAATCATCTCCCATTTGATAGCGTAAAGCAGTTTTGATAATCTTCATCACTGAGAAGGCTCTTTCCACTGTAGCTGTGGCGACAGGCAAAACTAGTGCCAAAACAATCAGACGGTAAACTAGGTGGAAAACAGTATGAATTTTAACTTCAACCATCTTCTGAGATAGCTCTGCAATATTCTGCAAATTGGAAAATCTTGCAGTCCCTCTCATTTCAGAGATCCAAATTTGAAGTTGTTCTTCAAGTTCCACGCGAACTAGATTTGTGAAATCATTTGGATATAATGATGCAAGCTCAATTAACTTCGCCTCACAAAAATTGGAGAAATTGTTCTTGGGATCAAGACATGCTACACAAAACTAGTGCCAAAACAATCAGACGGTAAACTAGGTGGAAAACAGTATGAATTCCAACTTCAACCATCTTCTGAGATAGCTCTCCAATATTCTGCAAATTGGAAAATCTTGCAGTCCCTCTCATTTCAGAGATCCAAATTTGAAGTTGTTCTTCAAGTTCCATGCGATCTAGATTTGTGAAATCATTTGGATATAATGATGCAAGCTCAATTAACTTTGCCTCACAAAAATTGGAGAAATTGTTCTTGCGAGCAAGACATGCTACACACTTAAGTAATTGTGTTCCAGTCTCACTGAAATGATTGTCCATCTCCATTTGAATTTTGTCGATGACCTATCATGTCACGCCCCGGACCTCCCCGGACACGTCAACAACCCGCCGTACAATACGAATAGTCAACCGCAGTCCAACACATTCATATTATACAAGGCGTCTCGAATATCATTTACACGAAAGCCATCCATAAACAACATAACAAGCAATCGAATACATAGCGGAAAACATAGTTTGAAAACAAACGCCACACGTGGCTAACATGAGCACGCAGGCTCTATAGTAAAATATCCATGAGCATGTTTATTAATGTTTAAAAAACGAATGGAGGAAGCACGAACCAAGTCTTCCCTCCTAGATGATCTCTCGAGCAACGAGCACAGGAAGTAAGCTCTAGCCTCAACCTGAAAAATGGTGGTGGGACGCCCCTGAAGGGGTCAGCACTCTATAGGGCTATAAAGTGCTGGTGTGGATGGCATCTAATAGATATACAACAAGTATTTCAAACACAAGACCCTCAAATAGGGTGATAGTATAATCTAGGCCGTAACCCCAAGTTACCCCTTTTTAAAAAATATACTTACTTTATATATAAAGTCAAGTAGTCGGCCCGTAGGCCCAAGGTTTGTTTATCAAACATACCCCAAAATCCCGTGACCCCTAGTCACAACAATACATAGGGTTCAACCCTAACACATATGCTTGCATTCTCGAGTCCAACTCGACTACATCACCATGCACCTTAATTAACATAAGCTAACTACTCCACCGTGCATTTCTTGAGTCCAACTCAACTACATCACCATGCACCTTAATTAACATAAGCTAACTACTCCACCGTGCATTTCTTGAGTCCAACTCAACTACATCACCATGCACAACAATCACCTCATCATGTCTACCCAATGCAATTCTATGAGCACGGCTCAAGTACATCTCCTTACATTGGCATAGACCCCAATTCCTAAGCACTCACTATGCCTAGAATTGTAATATCAATAATCTATTTTGGGACATCCCTACGGACTGCCCAACCATGGTCTTAGCATCACATTACATCAAATTTGTCACTTGCATCACAATCAAGTACATCAATTATAATCAAATCCTTAGATTCAATTCCCTTAACAATTACAACAATCATTAACTAGTATTTCAATACTATTAAGATTATTCTCATCCATCATATATTTCATTTGTAAAACCCTACATATTTAGAGATATGTAGTAGCAACTTAATCATTCAATGTAATACATAAATAATCATTTATGTATCTACACAATTCACACATGAGTAAAATGTCTATTTCACACAATAGTTCATTTAACTCCATTTTTATCAATACTTTACCAAATCATTTCCCATTTCATTCTTTGGAAAATAGATCAATATTCCATCAATAAATTATCATCATAATCCATGGAAAACATTATTTAGGCATTTAGGTAATCTTATGCTTAACCTACAAGTTGTAAGCAACTAGATGTCGATCCTCACCTCAAATGAGCTTTAAAACCTTCCTTCTCGATCCAATGACCAAAGCCTCGGCCAAGGAAGATTGGGGACTAGTTCCTTGCTTGAAAATGGGTGCTAAACAGCCTCCTCAAGTTGCTATTCCGACCCCTAATCGTTGATACGAAAACAGCCCCTAGAACGGGTGTTTTCCGGCTAACTCGATTCCTAGTTTTCCAATATTTGCATCTAGGTTAGTATCTAACCTTTACATCAATAAAATAACTTAATAGGGACGTTTTATACACTTTGAGTAGTGTATAATAGTCCCACCAATCGTTCTTATCCTTTGGAAAATGAATGGAAAGGTTTTGGGATTAACAACTCACTTAGAAGAGTAAATCCGTTCCTGCGAGGTCGCGTTCTGCTCGGACGATTTGGAAGCCTTCCTCTACTCCGATTGATGCAAACAAGACCTTCACGGATTCCTCGTCTTGAGAGCTTTCTTTTGGTATCTCACACGCCTTAATTGGATTGGTAAAACTTGAGATATCAACCAAACAGTCTCAGCACTGTCACAGCTCGAGTTCACAGACCACTGCTCGCTCCAGATCGATTTTTGGATGATTACTCTCTCCTCTCGAACAGATACCACTCAATTATGAAAATAGACTTCAAATTCTATCCAAGGACACCTTATACACCTCATTTGGACGAGTATAACTCCCTTTGAGGAGGGAGACAAACCACACCCATGATTTGTGCGGAAATTGACAAGGTGGGTCTCAAGTTTGATTCCAATCAAGTCTTGTGCATCCCTCCTCCAGCTTGTGCGGCCAAGGTAAGTCTCCTCACTTATTTTTCTTGTTTTGCAGGTACTATAATCATGTGGAGTGGTTCCCAATTGATCCCAATTAATTTGGGGTCCAAAATATCTACCAATACTCCCAAAAATGGGAAGATGAGTCCTATTATTTTATCTTTTGTCAAAGATGTCTTTTTGTACTCATCCTAATTTATTTATAACAAGTCAACTTCCTACATCACATTATTGATCTCCAATATGTGTAGGCTCCTCTCAATAATTTACTTGATGGACATTATAGAAGGAAAATCATACTCTCATTATTTAGCTCAATAATGTCAAAGATGGTATCATAGGCATTTGTATTCATCTCAAATCATCCTATCACTTATTTTGACATTTGTCATCCATATCATTGGGCTATAAGCCGTGTGGGTCACTCCCGATTGGGTCTAGGATGCTATTCTCGAATACTTGTTATTTTAGCAGGTTGGGCTCAAAATAACGTTTGGGCCGTCCGACCTTCCTCAAATTGTCTTGAAAGATCATGTATCACTATTTAGGTGATGTTGGGCTCTTTTATTTATTGATAAGTCCCGAATAGTATTTGCATGCCCGTCACTAATATATGAGTTCGAACAGTACAATAATCGATCATTAATTACGTAAAACATTAATCGTTTTACAATTATTTGGGAATCAGAAATCCAATACATAAACTTTGAATTTTTTTTAAATCAAATTTTTCAAGGACGTTCGGGTGTGGTGTCACAAGTTCACCCCCCCTTAACAGGAATTTCGTCCCCGAAATTCACAGCTCTACTCGAATAGAAAAGCATACTGCTATCTCATCAAAGCCTCTGTTTCCCATGTCTCTTCTTCGACCTGATCGCTCTTCCAAAGTACTTTAACCATTGGGACCTCTCTTCTCCTCAGTTTCTTCACCTTTCTATCGGTGACCTTGATTGGTTGCACAGCATAGTTCCCCTCAATGCCCTCAAACTAGTCAACAATGCCCCAGACGAACTCTTCCGACTGAGGGCATCTGCTAAAACGTTTGCCTTACCTGGATGGTACTCAATAACTAGATGGTAGTCCTTTATCAACTTCATCCACCGTCTCTGTCTCATGTTTAACTCTTTCTAAGTAAACACGTACTTCAAGCCCTTATGATCAGTATATATGTGACATGTCTCTTTTTTTTTTTTTTTTTTTTTTGAATTAGTGTATTCCCCAGTACTTTTTTTTTTTTTTTGAGAAATTAGTTTTTGATTTTATTGATTGAAAAAGGTACAGTACAGTACAAGAAAGAAGTAAAAAGAAGAAGGAAAAAAAAACAGAAAACAGAAAACTTAAAAAGAAAAGATACATGAAACTAATCCCAAGGAAAATCTCTGGATTGAGACCTGGTCTTCATGCGGTGGCGCCTTTTGTTTTTCTGAGATTTCCTATAAATTTTGAGTTGTGTGTTCAGATTGTCTGTTGGCAGACAATTTTCCGAGTTTACCAAAATTGCTTTGCGGCAAATCGCTCTGTTGAATTTCGACTTTCTAATTTCTTCCGGGTATGAGATTGGAGGTCGACGGTCATTTTCGGTTGCATGTCCCAAAAAATCATCTGTGAAGAAAGAGTCGTCAGAATGCTCAAAGCTGTCGGAGGCGTCTGAGTAAGCTTGGATCAGTGGTAGCTGGAGTTGCTTCCCTGGACAGTGGACCTGTAGATTCTCAGTACTTGCTGCATAGATTTGATAATTAAAAATAAGTTTAGAGATGGATGTGGGGTCTTCGGTTTCAATGGTGCTCCCGTGTTGCAAATTGATTGAGTCGTCCTGCACATACGTTGACATCCCTACAAAATTAGAAAAAACATTGAGGAATTTAAGCAGGCTTGATTTTTTATGTCCAATGGGAATCTGAATGGAGCCCCCCTTGATTTTAGCCATTTTAATAAAGCTGCCTGATCTATTAGTTTCCAAGGAAACCGTAATATCTCCAAATCGTCTGCTGCATCGCGTAAAATTAGACTGGTCAAAATATGTGACTTGGGAGAGGAACCGGATAATTTGAGGAGCAAGATCATGATTGATTAGGATCTTGTGCAGTTGGGATTTTTTAATTTCAAAGAGGACCAAATCGCTATTTGTCGCTGCGAATTTAAAAATTTTGGTTTCAATTTTGACCGAGTCAAAACCGTCCTCCCCAAAGAAAGAGAATTTTTCACAATCGTCGTAGAAGATATTTGTTTCAGCCCGATTTTCTTCTGTCGTGACCAAAGACAGAAGACGAGAAACCTTTTGTGAGGCCGTTTGTGGAAACTCAATTATTTCCTTGAGGGGTATGGTAGGGGACTGTGCTGGGGGTGCGGGTCTATCCTTGTCTGGCCTTACTAAGTCAGCCCATGTGAGCAATTTGGGAGCTTCCGTATACTCCAAATGTCCAGATTGACGTTCATAACAACCCTGCATATGTCTGTATTGTGGCCCCACCGACGATGTGGGTGAATTATCTTCACTCCTTCGGGCTAACTTTTCCGTCGCAGGTGAGTGTGTCGGAGTAGCGACTGCGTCGTACTCGCCTCTCTTTCCGACGAGGGTCGCAGGAGGTGATTTTGGCCGAGCTAGAGGTCTCTGGTCTACCTGTCTTCCTCTGTCTTCTTCGTCGTTCTCTGGTCCGTAGGCCTCGATTAGGTTTCCAAGCTGGATTGTAAGCTTCGTCCGCGGGTGTAGACGACTGTCCTTCGCTGATGTGCGCGGATCATTTTTAGGTTGTCTACGAATACGATTTTCGTTTTCTCCGTATCTGTGGGGGTGAGAAAGGCTGTGGGACTGAGGATAATTGACCAATGCCTGCTCATACGCAGGGATATGGACAGAAAAATCATCTTCTGAATCTAAGCAAAAATAACGATTTCGATTAACCACTGAACAATCAAAATCTGAGAGTGGTTTCCTTCTTCGCCGGTTGGGATGCGTAGCAGAGGGTCGGCGCTTGTGGACTGTGCGCCAGTGATCCTCTGTATCCTGTGGGTTGGTTCGAAGAGTTGCTAGATGTTGATTGTCGAGATTTTCCTGAAGATATTCTGGTCGTCGTGTCCTGGGGTTCCAGCCCGCCCGTTCCGACAGTAGAGGCTTAGAGATGCCGTTGTGGTAGAACCTGTTAGAGTGGCTTCTGAAGTAGTTATCGGCCACATAAGGAACTGCCCTTGGGTTGAAATGGGCACTGGATCCTCGGTCTTGAGGTTGAGGGCGGCGTAGTTGGGGATTGGGAAATCTGTCCCTGTCTCGATTCCAATTGTTGAAGCGAGGTGTGTACCCGTGATTGTAGTCTTCGTGGACATAGTGCTTATTCCGGCGGTATGGGTGCCGGAATTCCCGGTACATGATTAGGCCGTCTGTTTTGTAGTGAGGGATGAGAGTTTCTCACTCTTCATCGTCTTAATCATATCCCTCAAGACCCGACATGTCTCTCCGTAGAGATAATGTCTCCAAATCTTCAGTGCAAACACCACTGCTCCCAGCTCTAGATCATGGGTAGGATAATTTACCTCATGCTTCTTCAACTGTCGTGAAGCATAGGCAATTACCCTCCCTTCCTGCATCAACACACACCCAAACCCTTGGATGCTCGCGTCACTATAGACATCGTACCCCACACCCTGTTTGGGTAATGCAAGTACCGGTGCCTCGGTCAACCTCTTCTTCAGTTCGATGAATCCTTTCTCACATTTGTCATCCCATATAAACTTAGCTCCCTTTCGAGTGAGCTTCGTCAACGGCGACGCCAAAACAGAGAACTTTTCCACGAACTTTCTGTAATAGCCTGCCAATCCAAGGAAACTACGAATTTCCTTGACATTCTTTGGTCTCTCCCATTCGATAATGGCCTCTATCTTCTTATTATCAACAGCAATTCCCGATCCCGAGACCACATGCCCGAGAAAACCAATCTCCTTAAAGCCAAAATTCACATTTAGAAAACTTGGCATAGAGTTGCTTCTCCCGTAGTGTCTCAAGAACGAGTATCAAGTGCTCCTCGTGCTCTTCCTCACTCTTTGAGTAGATCAAGATGTCATCAATGAACACAATCACGAATCGGTCCAAGTATTTGTGAAATACTTGGTTCATCATGTCCATGAATGCCGCCGGGGCGTTTGTTAACCCGAATGACATAACAAGGAACTCAAAATGCCCATACCTCGTGCGGAAAGCACTCTTCGGTATGTCATCCTCCTTAATCTTCAATTTATGGTACCCCGACCTCAAGTCAATCTTTGAAAACACGGTTGCTCCTCGTAGTTGATCAAACAAGTCATCAATCCTAGGCAAAGGATACCTATTCTTGATTGTGACCTTGTTCAGTTGACGATAGTCAATGCACATTCGAAGTGTTCCATCCTTCTTTTTCACAAAAAGGACTGGTGCTCCCCACGGGGAGTGGCTTGGTCTGATGAAACCGCTATCCAAAAGCTCTTGCAATTGGGTTTTTAACTCGTTAAGTTCAACGGGTGCCATACGGTATGGCGGTATGGAGATTGGTTTGGTGCCGGGCTCGACCTCGATCACGAACTCAATCTCCCTATCGGGTGGAAGTCCCGGTAAGTCTTTAGGAAAGACGTCCCGATACTTGCATACTACCCTAACATCATCAATGCTCGTCTCTTCTTTGGTTTTGTCCACCACATACGCTAGATATGCGTGACATCCCTTCCTCATCATATTCTTAGCCCTCACAGCGGATATGATACAACTATTGGGTTTTGCCCTATCCCCCTCGAAGCGTAAGGTTACCCCTTCATTGCCTTCGAGTTCAAGTACTTTCGTGTAACAATCGACCCTAGCATGATGCTTCTCAAGCCAATCCATCCCCAGGATTGCATCGAACTCAATCATACTCAGCGGCACGAAATCACACTACAAGTTTTGGCCCTCCACTTCCACCTCACACGATGGATAGTGGCTATCTCTCTCGATGTCTTCCCCTAGGGGTGTGGATACCAATAGGGCTTGAGCCATCGGTACCAGGGGTGCGTTGAATCCCCCGACGAATGCCTCACTCACAAATGATCGTTGCGCCCCGGTATCGATGAGGATTCTCGCACATCTCCCATTAATCTTTAGTGTTCCTACATTTATAAGCCATGTAAGATACCTCTCTAACATACCGACCAATCCTACGAAGAACATAATGCGAAATCATGTCCTTAAAGTGGGCAAAATCCCCCAATTATGGTTGACGTTCGCAGTTGAGATATAAATTGACACTGTCTCACCGTTTTGATCATATCTCTTCACATACTTAACCAAATCGTTCGATTCAAATTCCATCATTTAGACAATGAAAATATCTACAACTTTCATGAAGACAACTTTTTCATTTGACGAACACTTCGAGGTGTACCCGATCGGGTAACATACTATATCCGATCGGGTATAAGTTCCAGTGGGTTCGGGCAGAATTTTTTTGACAAACCCGGTCGGGTTTACCACCATACCCGGTCGGGTATGTGTTCCAGAAGGTGTCGGGCAGAAATTTTTGACAAACCCGGTCGGGTATACCACCATACACGGTCGGGTATGTGTTCCAGTGGACTTATGAGTGCAAAAACTTGGCCTACCCGGTCGGGTTCATTACCAAACCCGATCGGGTATGCGATCCAGAAGGTTTACGAGGGCAAAAACTCGTCCCACCCGGTCGGGTTTATTGCCCTACCCGGTCGGGTAGTAGCATGGTTTTGCTCTCCTTTCCCATTTCAATCTTACGTCTGCTCCCACCTGGATTCTAGGATTTATAACTTCAATTTATGGACTAATTAAGGATAAAACACTAGTATACGAGAGGCAATACCTGCAACGGAATCCGGGTTAGCTTGAGCATCCGCCTCCGTCATCGCGTAGACCCTAGCTTGACTCCTTCCTTGATTCACGGACGGCGCGTTGCTTGCGCTTGCTCCCCCTTGCCCCCTAGACGCTTGTGAAGTCCCGGCTTGATTCCGTGTCCCGGTATTACCACTACTTGGCCCTGATGCCCTCGTCCCGCCCAGTTGTGGGCAGCTCATCTTCATGTGACCGGTGCTCCCGCATTGGTAGCATATAGGAGGGTCACGACATTTCCCCGGGTGGTTCATCTTGCAATTCTTGCAACGAGTCACCCCCGAGGCTTGTGATTGCCCGCCCGGGCCTTGACTTCCCCTAGATGGCAGTGGGGGTGTCCGAAAAGACCCCCCTCCCCCATGGTTCCCCTTTTTGCTAGGACCTTGAGGTCCAAGGTTCTCCCACTTTCTCTTCTTCGCCTCTTCGGCGTTTTTCAACTTCCTCTCTTCCCATTCTTTCTCTCCTTTTAACCCTTGCTCGACCACTTGGCTAAAGGTCATGTTAGGCAACTGCGTTGCCCTCTCACGCACCTCCAGGTCTAGGGCATCCCAAAAGTGATTTACCATCCGGTTCTCGTCACACACATACTCCGGTATGAATTCCGCGAGCTCCCTGAATTTGTGTTCAAGTTGCCTCACCGTCATTTTGCCTCCTTGGGTCAGGAGGGTATACTCTCTCCTCTTAGCGTTCACCTCAAAATCAGAATAGTATTGGGCAAAGAACTCCTGTCGGAAATTCTCCCAAGTCACAGTATTGCCATACTTCCCCTTGGCTCCGTCCCACCATGTGGATGCCATCCCTTCAAGCAATCTCACCGCCACCCTTAGTTTAAATTCGGGGGTGAGTTGCATATCAAGGGCTGCTTCGTTCAACCTCTTGATCCATTCCGCGGCGACCGAGATGTCGCCCGCTCCGTTGAAGGGTTTGCACCCCAAGTCTCTCGCCTCTTTGAGAAATTTTGAGATCCTTATGATTGGACCTCCATCACCCCGGCCCCCATGTGGTTCAATGTGGGCCCTAGAGTCGCCATGGCTTCTTCCTCTTGAAGCCCCACCCGAAGTTTGCCCTCCCCGGCGCCTTCGGCGTTCCCTCCTTTCCTCGCGCTCCCGCTGATATTGTTGGAGCAGCGCCTCAATTCTTGCTAGGGAGTCATTTTCCCCCTCTTCATCACTTACATCATCGTCATCCCCTTCGTAAGGGGTCTCAACCGGCTCGGTTTCCGGTTGGTAAGTCGAGTCCTCATAGGACCAGTAGGTTTCATCCTCGGTGTCCACATGACCGTCGCTCACCGTGTGCGATCGGCCTCCACGGCTCGCCCCTCTAGATACTCTAGAGGCCCCACGGCTTCCCTGCCCGGTCGCTACCGGTGCACGGCCCATCGGGTTCTTTCTCGTAACCCTGCCACCACCGTCCATTTCTGAAAGAAATTTTGGAAAGAGTCGTTAGACTCGTATCAAATGTCAATTGACGGATAGGTACTTAAGACACATTTTGGCTCGAGTCACCGCCATACCAATTGCTAAGGGTACCATCTTAACAATTAGAGACCTTGCAACCCAAGTACCAAAAGCTCTCCAAGTACAAAACTTCTATGCTCATGGTTTTCAAAATCTTTTCAAAAAGAGAGTTTTGAGACTTCATTATGAAGTTTATGGACTAAGGCTCTGATACCAACTTAATTGTCACGCCCCGGACCTCCCCGGACACGTCAACAACCCGCCGTACAATACGAATAGTCAACCGCAGTCCAACACATTCATATTATACAAGGCGTCTCGAATATCATTTACACGAAAGCCATCCATAAACAACATAACAAGCAATCGAATACATAGCGGAAAACATAGTTTGAAAACAAACGCCACACGTGGCTAACATGAGCACGCAGGCTCTATAGTAAAATATCCATGAGCATGTTTATTAATGTTTAAAAAACGAATGGAGGAAGCACGAACCAAGTCTTCCCTCCTAGATGATCTCTCGAGCAACGAGCACAGGAAGTAAGCTCTAGCCTCAACCTGAAAAATGGTGGTGGGACGCCCCCGAAGGGGTCAGCACTCTATAGGGCTATAAAGTGCTGGTGTGGATGGCATCTAATAGATATACAACAAGTATTTCAAACACAAGACCCTCAAATAGGGTGATAGTATAATCTAGGCCGTAACCCCAAGTTACCCCTTTTTAAAAAATATACTTACTTTATATATAAAGTCAAGTAGTCGGCCCGTAGGCCCAAGGTTTGTTTATCAAACATACCCCAAAATCCCGTGACCCCTAGTCACAACAATACATAGGGTTCAACCCTAACACATATGCTTGCATTCTCGAGTCCAACTCGACTACATCACCATGCACCTTAATTAACATAAGCTAACTACTCCACCGTGCATTTCTTGAGTCCAACTCAACTACATCACCATGCACCTTAATTAACATAAGCTAACTACTCCACCGTGCATTTCTTGAGTCCAACTCAACTACATCACCATGCACAACAATCACCTCATCATGTCTACCCAATGCAATTCTATGAGCACGGCTCAAGTACATCTCCTTACATTGGCATAGACCCCAATTCCTAAGCACTCACTATGCCTAGAATTGTAATATCAATAATCTATTTTGGGACATCCCTACGGCCTGCCCAACCATGGTCTTAGCATCACATTACATCAAATTTGTCACTTGCATCACAATCAAGTACATCAATTATAATCAAATCCTTAGATTCAATTCCCTTAACAATTACAACAATCATTAACTAGTATTTCAATACTATTAAGATTATTCTCATCCATCATATATTTCATTTGTAAAACCCTACATATTTAGAGATATGTAGTAGCAACTTAATCATTCAATGTAATACATAAATAATCATTTATGTATCTACACAATTCACACATGAGTAAAATGTCTATTTCACACAATAGTTCATTTAACTCCATTTTTATCAATACTTTACCAAATCATTTCCCATTTCATTCTTTGGAAAATAGATCAATATTCCATCAATAAATTATCATCATAATCCATGGAAAACATTATTTAGGCATTTAGGTAATCTTATGCTTAACCTACAAGTTGTAAGCAACTAGATGTCGATCCTCACCTCAAATGAGCTTTAAAACCTTCCTTCTCGATCCAATGACCAAAGCCTCGGCCAAGGAAGATTGGGGACTAGTTCCTTGCTTGAAAATGGGTGCTAAACAGCCTCCTCAAGTTGCTATTCCGACCCCTAATCGTTGATACGAAAACAGCCCCTAGAACGGGTGTTTTCCGGCTAACTCGATTCCTAGTTTTCCAATATTTGCATCTAGGTAAGTATCTAACCTTTACATCAATAAAATAACTTAATAGTGACGTTTTATACACTTTGAGTAGTGTATAATAGTCCCACCAATCGTTCTTATCCTTTGGAAAATGAATGGAAAGGTTTTGGGATTAACAACTCACTTAGAAGAGTAAATCCGTTCCTGCGAGGTCGCGTTCTGCTCGGACGATTTGGAAGCCTTCCTCTACTCCGATTGATGCAAACAAGACCTTCACGGATTCCTCGTCTTGAGAGCTTTCTTTTGGTATCTCACACGCCTTAATTGGATTGGTAAAACTTGAGATATCAACCAAACAGTCTCAGCACTGTCACAGCTCGAGTTCACAGACCACTGCTCGCTCCAGATCGATTTTTGGATGATTACTCTCTCCTCTCGAACAGATACCACTCAATTATGAAAATAGACTTCAAATGCTATCCAAGGACACCTTATACACCTCATTTGGACGAGTATAACTCCCTTTGAGGAGGGAGACAAACCACACCCATGATTTGTGCGGAAATTGACAAGGTGGGTCTCAAGTTTGATTCCAATCAAGTCTTGTGCATCCCTCCTCCAGCTTGTGCGGCCAAGGTAAGTCTCCTCACTTATTTTTCTTGTTTTGCAGGTACTATAATCATGTGGAGTGGTTCCCAATTGATCCCAATTAATTTGGGGTCCAAAATATCTACCAATACTCCCAAAAATGGGAAGATGAGTCCTATTATTTTATCTTTTGTCAAAGATGTCTTTTTGTACTCATCCTAATTTATTTATAACAAGTCAACTTCCTACATCACATTATTGATCTCCAATATGTGTAGGCTCCTCTCAATAATTTACTTGATGGACATTATAGAAGGAAAATCATACTCCCATTATTTAGCTCAATAATGTCAAAGATGGTATCATAGGCATTTGTATTCATCTCAAATCATCCTATCACTTATTTTGACATTTGTCATCCATATCATTGGGCTATAAGCCGTGTGGGTCACTCCCGATTGGGTCTAGGATGTCATTCTCGAATACTTGCTATTTTAGCAGGCTGGGCTCAAAATAACGTTTGGGCCGTCCGACCTTCCTCAAATTGTCTTGAAAGATTATGTATCACTATTTAGGTGATGTTGGGCTCTTTTATTTATTGATAAGTCCCGAATAGTATTTGCATGCCCGTCACTAATATATGAGTTCGAACAGTACAATAATCGATCATTAATTACGTAAAACATTAATCGTTTTACAATTATTTGGGAATCATAAATCCAATACATAAACTTTGAATTTTTTTTAAATCAAATTTTTCAAGGACGTTCGGGTGTGGTGTCACATATCAAATTAAAGTAAAAAAAAATTATGAACTAAAATTTTACATAAGAAATATAGTTAAGTATTAACTTTTACCTCATATAAAACCTCATACCAAAGATAGTGATAATTAGTTTTATCACCTCCAACACGCCTTGACCGAATGTGTGTAGCAGGATCATCCAATTTTATAATTGTGATACCATGTTTCCAACAAAACTTGTTCACATCATTAACAAGACTTTCCCATCCAGTTTCCCTCAAATCTTGCAGCTTTTCTTTCGTAGTTTGAATTAAACTAACAACCTCAAGAATATTCTGATTTTTTTCTTGCAGAAACTTAGACAAAGCATATGTCAAGCCTAATACTTTTTTCATCACATGGGCAACAAAAACAAAATAATAACTCTCCATTTTCTCAAGTAAGCTTCCTGCCAATCCTCTACGTTTAAATTTAACACCATCGTCATATATCTTACCTAGTACTTCAAGAGTGGGAGACCATAGTAATAGCAATCGAAGGATGGTAGTATAATGAGAACCCCACCGTGTAGCTCCTGGCCGAGCTAAGGAGCATTCTTGGTTCAAACCTCTTCCAGTTTCTATTTCTCCCTTTTCTAACATTTCAACTAATGTTTCCTCTTGTATCTGTCTGAACTCATCTTTTCTTTTGCAAGAAGCTCTAACCATGTTTGTAATTATACTCAACAAGTCAAAGAAATCACTCACAAAGCAATTAACCGCTGAAACTGAGACAACAAGCAATTGAAATTCATAAGCAAAACAATGTATGTATCTAGCACATGGATTTTCATTCAAAATTAGAGTTTTCAGACCATTGAGCTCACCACGCATATTCGATGCTCCATCTTATCCTTGATCACGTAATTTAGAAATCGACAAACCATGTTTGGAAAAGAAATCATCTACGGAACTTTTCAAAGAAAGAGCAGTAGTATCAACAACATGAATAAGACGAAGAAAACGTTCTATAACTGCCCCATTATCATTAACAAACCTAACAACAACAGCCATTTGCTCTTTTATAGATGAATCACGAGCCTCATCAACTAATAGAGAAAATTATTTTCCCCCAATCTCACCTATTAACTCTTTTCTAGTTTCAGAGGCACACGCGTTAACAAGTTCAATTCTTTTTGAATTACTGGACTAGTGAGTTGATGATTGCTCGGTGCATTGTCCTTCACAACCTTCAAAACCTCATCATTCCTTATACTATACCAATCAAGAAGTTCTAAAACAATTACCTTTATTGGCTGAGTTTTCATGTTCATCATGCCCTCGGAAAGTTAGTCCATGCATAAGAAGAAATGGAACAATATCCAAAATAGCCGTGAGGCGAACACGATAAGTGGCCTCTAATATGTGTTTACCAACGGTTACACACCTTGTCAAATTCTGCCTTTGATCCTTAAAATCTAAAAATGAAGTTCTAGCATCGTTGTGCGCAATGCTTTTTACATGGTCTCTAAATTTTTCAGGGCCTTTTTTTCAAATACAGAAACCGTTTTTGACAAACACTTCATCGCCAAATCTTTTAATTTCATCTCCTTTAAACAAATAACATCAGAAGCAAAATGCAGCATCTTCAGACACACTATATTCCAACCATTCCCATTTTGTATATCATTCACTTTGAAATGACCTAGATTTGTTTCCAACCATAGATCGTGGAAATCATGTTAATGTGGTTGGCAAGCACCTTTTACAACATATTCTCTTCTTATGGCATCCCTAATCGACGGTTCATAATCATTTATTGATTTTCTTAAACCTGGATCGCCAATTACTTCATTTTCAAGCTCATTATCTAATCTAGGTCTTTTTTCTCTCCGATCATTATCCGTCACCGCATTTCCATCAATAATAGATTGTTTAATCCTACTCCCACTCTCGCTACCAATCCTACCATCCGTCTCTATAGGTGTAGCTCGTACAGAAACATTTGAAGACTAGCACCGGAACTTATTGATGTTTTTATCCGGGAAAAATAGTTCTCAATTGACATTCCCTAATGATAAATATCGAAACAAAACTATAATTGATTTAAGTCAAATTATTATAAATACTTCATTTAATACAAATAATACATTAACAAAAAAAATCATTATATTCAATTCAATCTATTTTACACTACATATTTTTCAAATCATAATTGTGAATTTAAAAAAATGAATAGTGAAATACCAGATGTTATTTAACTTAAAAAAGCAAAAATAGAAAATCGGAACATACCAAATCGACAAATTGGCTGGCAGCGGATGGTGAGTGGCGGTCCGTGTGGCAGTGTGAGTCATGTGACCGGGTCCAGCGTGGCTCACTGGCTATGAAGCACAGGCCTACATGTATAGGCCCATGACCATGTATGTAACCCTAGCTCCCCTTCCCCTATATATGGCTATATGTGAATGAATGAAGCTTTTGGTTCTCGGTTCATAACACATTATCAGCACGATGCCATTGCCCTGCATTCTTTCTGATCGGCCTCCCCTCACAATCTTCAATTGGTCATCTACCCTTCATCTTTCTAAGCTTTCCTTTTCCTTGTTGATCTTCTTTTCCGGCATCGGAAGTTAGTTCTTTCCTCCCACCAAACTTCTTCATGACTCATGAGCGTATCAACACGGTTGCTTGACTTGGAATATATATTTTCCTTTTGTAATCGATGGAGAACTCTAAATGATGAAACATTGGCACAAAAATGATCAACGAACAAAAGGAGCTCTCGGCAGTGGCTCCATCGAGGTCTCCTCCCTTTTGAATTAACTAGTATTTTCACCCGTGCATTGCACGGGTTGATCTCTCTTTTTCTCTTAAAAAATAAAATTGTCTTCTCATGAAATAATACCCCGTAAGATCATTCTTAATCTGGTTACAACACACTGGAATACCATCATGATCACCATGACTAAAACTTGGCCGAAAAACATTTGCCCTTGCAAATGCATGAGCGGCACAGTTAGCATATCTTTTACAAAAACTTAGAGGAATAGATGAATACTCTTCTAATTATTGCTTAATATCCTCCACCCAAATGTCCAGAAAAGACCTTTCCCCATACTCACCACTTAGACGATCGTCAGAGAATCCATCTCGATATCCACATGTCTCTGCCCTTCTTAGACTGCCCATACCAGTACCTTCCCAATTCCCTTTGCCTCCACTTATTTCAGCCACCGATCCGTCAAGCAGGAGACACATTTAGCAATGTGGTCCCAAGCTCCTCTACCACCCTCCGTGTTTCAAGCCGCATCCAAATTCACCTTTACCCACCCATAACTCAGACGCTGTCATCATGAGTTATTGGCGTCATGATAGCTATTATTTTTACGTTTAACTTGCCCTCAAATCAAAATTATATAATCAAGTTTCTATGTTCGTAGAATTGCCAATAATTATGCTTTGACCATTAAAGATAGAATTACCGAGAAATACTACCAATATTATAGATCTCTGCATGAAGTCATTGAGAAATACTATTATAGATCTTGTGTATTGATATTAAGCTATTGATAAACTACTTTCATCCCATATCATAAACTTCAGCTGATATTGACTCTTGACTTTGGTAACCTTAATCCATAAATTTTATAAGAAGCGAAATTATCAACTGGTAAGTTTAAAATCTTATTAATGCCTATTGTGTAACCGGTAAGTTTACATTTAAGAGTATCAATTTTGAAATATGATGACATTTGATTTTGAATATCACTTTGAATTGCTCATCCAACTCTCATGAAGTACAATATACACTCACTGTCGTGTCTATTTACAGTGTTTCTATATACACACAATTTATTTATTTATTTATTTATTTATTTATTTATTTATTTATTTATTTATTTATTTATTTATTTATTTATTTGGCAAAATTTATCATCTTATTTAGAAAGGAAAAACGAAACAAAATATGTTACGGAGTATACAACTTTTTTCTTACTATAGTGAAAGAGAATCTTTTTTGGGATTGAGTAGAAAAGGAAATTTGAAATCTGGAATAAACAGGGGTAATGTTATCAATATTGGATGGTTTAAAAAATTAAACAACAATTATAACTCACAATTTCTTTTGCAGAAGTCAACCACAACTAAGTAACCACATTTTCAATTCAAAGGTCAATTCACACATCAAAAACAAATTTTACAAATGAAATTGGAGGTTTCCAAAAATGCGAGAGGGAGATGAAAAATGACAATATATACCACTATCCATTGCTTCCAAAGAAGATAAGAAGAAAACCAATACTGCAACATTATACGTCTAAACAAAACATTCAAAGTTCAAACAACGGCATCATCCGTATAATCTAAAGAAACACTGAAGAGGGTTCTAGAGAAGATAAAACCAACACTGGCTATCCCTTGAAAGTGTTGCACAACATTCATGAAGCAAGAAGTACTAATCTGCTCTCATAGTATCATGTGCTAGGAAGACATCAAGCTTGAATTGCAGTGAGTGAAGATAATTTAAGCTATCTTGTGTGAGACCATTTAGCCTGGGGATTGAGCTCTTCACTTCTGATGTTGCACAGGGTAACCCCAAAAGTACTGCAATTATGTAGGAGAATTTTTAAAAATGAGTTTTAGTAGTACCATTTTGAGCACCCTAACACCCTAAATGAGTTTTAGTAGAAAAGATCTCATTTTATGAGATCTTCTCAAATCTGCCTACAATAGCTATTCTCTTAATATTTAATCTAAAAATAATACATATCAATTTGCAGGGAGAAAAAGTAATTTTCTCTAATCTTTCAAAAAACATTAAAACGAAAGGTGGCACCTCAAGTGTACTCCTAGGATAATGTCTTTACACGTGACCTGTATAAACTACTTTCAATCCTTTTACAGAGAAAAGAGGACATCAAGTTAATAAGGTTTTAGGCTGTATGCAAGATCTTTTTTCAAAGCTAAATGTTGCTAGCTAATCGAAGATATTGACAATTCATTGTCTTTTTGTTCTATGATAATTTGAACTGGGCTCCTATAGCAGACTCTGTTAACTTAAAAAGATTTGAGAATGTTATCCCTTAACCCTGTTGTGGTCTATTATGCTGGCTCTTACTTTTTTAATCCAGTGGCCTTGCATTTTGTCTGTTATGTTGAATTGTTTCAACTTTTTGCAGGCAATACAAACAATTGATGAAACAATTGCTTCTAATGCTATTAAAAAAACAAAGAAAGATCAGTAAGCATTTTATCAAAGAACCGGGACTCCATCAATAGTTCCACATATGTGAGAAGCAATAATTGTTTATGGAAAAAGTTAAGTAAAGGACAGAGAGTTGACCTGAGAGTGCAAATTGTGGGTGTTCTCGAAGTCTTTCTTTTGACGGGATGTTTAATTTCACCTAAGATTGCAGTGAGTAACTGCGTGAGGAAGTCTAAGTGGTTGTGAAGAGAAGGAATGGCTGCTCCTATCATCGCATCCCAAAAAAATCGATCATCATTGCTCATACTCACGGCCAGAGATGGAGCTCGGAGGCTCGGGTGAAAACAAAGCTTGTTTTCAGTAAATTGAATAAAATTAATTAATAAAAACATATGCCAGAACAATACCTCATCCCTGAGTGATGAAAATGGCCCAGGAAGCGTCTTAAGAAGAGGCGACATCGAGACTGAATGCAGGGCCGCAGGGGCATCGCTCATAGGCTCGGGTCGGCAGGAAAGTGAAGAGTGATTCAGCACCGCCAGAGATGGAGCTTGTGGAGATGAAGAGTGCTTCTTCCGATTGAAAGGAAAGTGAGAGGATTTTCTGATGCAAAAGAAAGTGACAACCCAGCTGGGGCGTTTTGGGGGAGAGTGAGGTGAGATGTCGAAGATGAGGCTGGACGGGCATGGGGATGTGGAAGATGAGGTTGGACTGATCGAATCAGGCGGAAATTGAAAAGACCGAAATAGGCCTAAATGAATTAGGCGGAATTGTGCAGATAGAAGGCTTAGGCGATGAGCGGGAAAATGAGATCTTCAAAATATTACAATTATGTAGAGTGATTGCTAGTTTAGGAGTTTCAGGTTTTCAGCCGCATAGCCGCATAGGGATTCGCCGTCCATAGTCATCACATGTTATCAACACTGCCGCCTCTTCCTTGAAAGTCCAGGTTCTTTTAGGCAATGTTTGGCACACAAAAGCCTCTGCCTTCTAGCTTCTCTTTTCTTTAAAAAGACCTTAAAAGACTCTAGTTGTATGTTTGGCATGACATTTTTTAAGAGCTTTTCAGAAATTAAAAGATCTTTTTTGAGATGCTACCGGGTGTAGCATCTGAGAAAAGCTCGTGACTTTTAGTATTAATTAGTCCTAACAGCTTGTATACCAAACCGAACTAAATCAAACAGTCAGCTTTTTACCAAACAGCTATCACCTTTTCTTTTTAAGATCTTTTCAGTCACTAAAAACTAACAGTTACTAAAAATCTCACAAACCAAGCATTCCAGTTCAGCTGGTTGTGAGGTTACCGTGCTTAGTGGGAGGTCTCGAGTTCGAATCCCGCTAGGCACACAAGGGTGTGAAACTCAATGGAGTGGGTTTCAGCCCTGATTACTCCAGGCTCCCCCCAGCCCCCCTCCCCCAGACACCCCCCCTGGAATAAAAAAAAAAAACTCACAAAAGTATCTTTTCAGCTAGTTGTGCCAAACATACCCTTAATGTAATTGGAATATATTGCTATTCTTTTTATACGGAGGGTACGTATTATTTGTGGCTGACCATGAGCTAAAATCCCATTTTTATACGGATGTTAATTGGTTATGATCAAATCTCATTTTGAAAGATTTATCAATTATCAATTAATTATCAAATATCATTATTATTATGGAATATTTCCACATTGAATTTGTTTGTTTATATTACATATGCGTAGGTGTATTATATATTACTGAGTACTTAATTAATTATCAATTGAAGCACGATGAAAACACTTAATTTTATACTTTTAAAGAATCAATTACCCTCATCATTATTGGAGATTTTATAACTAATAGCCCATAAAATCTCCGTATATATCATTCAGACAGTTTAACTATATCAATGATTATATGGCATTCTTTCTTTGCATCTGGACACGTCCTTGATAATTAAAGGTTATACATATTGATAATATATAGTAGTATAGTACGGAGTACTACGTACGAAGTATTATGATTTTCATGGGGTAGCATATAAATTCACAAAACTCCTATACGTTATGTATTTTATCATTAATATAGAGTAATAATTACTAGTAATTATTATTCTTATAGAGTTATTATCACATAAGAATATTCACTGTACTTGTGGTAATATTGGTCCATAAGAATATTTCCTGATGTCAAATTAATTTATGTTTATTTATTATGTGATTTGATAATTAGTTCAATTTATTTGAACTAAATTAAGCATCAAGGAAAATGCATGGGAAAGGACATGTACACTTTACCTTTTTATTTATAACTAATGTGGCCATTGTTAATCATTAGTAACGTCGCTCTACTCATGTTTTACTGTTAATTTTTCTAGACATGAGACATCTCATATTTTTTTCAAAAAAAAAAATAGAAACTTTAAAAGATAGTGTCTTAAATATTACATAAGCAGTTGCTTTAGATTTTTTTAAAAGATGGTTTATAGATAGAGGTGAAATCATTAAATCACAATATATATTTGATACACCATTTTTTGGAACTTTTGTGTTAATGTGAATGGGGTCATCCTCAGCCCAAAGGTTAAAGTGATCGTCGATAAGAAAGAAATTGAATTCTTTAATTTAATGACATTATTATTAGTCAATTGAAACATATAATTGAATTGTATTTATTAGCCCAATGTTGGTTACATAGATATAATGATGATACAAATTAATGATACAAATTTCGTTTTAATGAACTATAATAACAATTTAGAATTTGACTAAATGTCAATAACATTAATTCAATCATTCTTATTAGCCAATATGATTCGGTAATTAGTGGGGATTTATTAGTAGCTAACTTTGACTAAAAATATATACAATTTGATCAAAGTGTTGATTCCACGGGTTTTGTTCAATTATAAAATAATTAAAAGTCATTTTCTTTAAATTAAGTTGTTAGTGGTTCGAATATTGCTTGTGAGATAATCGTTTACCACTATCGGAGTTTTATCTCTAATAGTACGAGTAGCACTCCACTAAAATTGATTTATGTTATTACTAGTTTACTACCAGTGAATTATGCCTCAATAAATTATAGAGTGTACGCAATGGGTTTAAAGCCCGTTTTATTCACTTGCTCACGAAGCAGTATTGTTTTTGGTTATTGTTTGACTTAAACCTTTATCAGTTTGTTAGCATTTCATTTCCTTTCTAATGCTTATTTAAATTATTATCAAAATTACTTAATACACTACTTTGAGTTAAGGTAATCATTAACAAAAGTGCATTGGAGATTACAGGTACGTTCCATATATCTCTATTTGCAATTTGGTCATATTAGAACGTAATATGATTAAATATATATTTATATGATAAACTTGATGGTGAAAAAAACGAAAAGTTATGTGACTTATGGCCTTTTTTTTTATCAATATTACTAAAATAAACGGAAAAGACATTCATATGACCCGTTTTAAAATTTTCTACAAAAGTGACCAAGAGTCATTAATACCTTGTACGAAGTCTTTAATATTATTACATTTATTATTGTAATTTTCATTTTATAAATTTGACTTTTAGTCCATGTTTTGTAGTCACTGCAACAACCTCAACACCACTGCCTCACACCCCACCACATCGGATGTCACCACCACCGGCACCTGCAACCTCGCCATCCACACCAGTCACTAACAGAGTGACTTCCCCGTCACTAACCAGTGACTTCCGTCTAGCTCCGGTCACTAGTCAGTGACCTCCGCCAACTCAGGTCACTAACCCAGTGAGACCGCCACAATCACCGTCAGTGACACCGCCACAATCACCGTCAGTGACACCGGTACAAAGACACCACCGCCAGTTACGCCGCCTCCAGTTACATGTATTATCGGGCTACACAGGAAAATAGTGACACTGCATTCTCTGCCCCGCCAGCCCCTACCCCTGTCCCACAGACTAACCCTAGCCCACCCCAACCCCAAGCTCTGCCTGCCGGCCCACCCCAGCTTCGAACTCCCAGATCCGATCCCAGCCTCACACCTCAGCCCCAGCTTCCAACCCAAGCCTCCAACCGCACCACCGCCTGTAAGCGTAGCCTCCGGCTCACCTGCGCCACCCCCCATCCGAGCTTTAACGGCCACCAAATCGCATATCTCTGTCATCCTTAAACACCGATCTTTTCACCGCCGTCGCTCGCCGTCCAGAAATTCGGTCAACTCGTCAACGCTAATCTGCTCGAGTTGGACGATGGTGATTGAAGGACAACCTATACGGAGAGGCGGAGCAGAGATATGGATGGAGAGTCAGAGCCACGAACGGAACAGGGTGGTGCTTCCACCGATGACGAAGCCTAGATCCTCAGTTACAGTGATGGCGGCGGCGGGTAGGACAAGTAACGGCGAAGAAGAGTGAGAAGAAGAAGAAGAGTTACGATGGAGCGGCAGGGCGATGGGGCAGCGCCGACTGGAGTTTGTCACTATCGTCTCAATGAGTTACGATGAGAGAGGCTAGGTCAGTGGGGAATATAAGGGCCGAGCATTTAATTGTATGTTTTTGTCACTTTTTTGTCCATTTAAAATATTTTCATATTTTTGTCCACTACAAGTCTATTAGTAATATCTAAGCCTTTATTTCGTGACTTATTCTATAGCTTCAATGTTTTATAAACACTCAAATAAGCAACATATTTTAAGAAAATGTTAAATGTCCCACACCGGAAAATTGAAAAGCACTAGAGTGCTATATTAAGCTTCGGGCTACTCCTCCTAACAGGTTGACCTTTTAGGATGGAACCCCGGATCTTAACATGGTATCAGAGCCAAATCGATCCATGGTGTGGGGCCCCCTTATGAAAAATGATAACACGGTCATAAAAAAATGACAACGACGAACCGACGAAAAAAAAAATGAAAGACGGCACGATCCAGACGAAGTGTCTGGTCGTGAGGAGGGGTGTTAGAGTCCCACACCGGAAATATTTGAATCAACGAAGTGCTATATTAAGACATGGGCTACTCCTCCTATCAGGTTGACCTTTTAGTATGGAATCCCGAGTCTTAACATGGGTGATTATAAAGCATGGTATACACTTCAACTATATTAACAATATAGTTAAGTATGTAGTATTACACAAATAGTGCCTAGAAAATCACAATCTAATGCAATTATGAATAATGATTAGTTCAAGTTGATCTATTCGAGAGAGGTAAAGAACAAATAAAATTCCAGAAATGGAAATATGAAATAATAACAAAGTGCCAGAAGTCACTATAAGAGCATAAACTCGATGTACAGGTGGATGTGTTGTGAACATGAAGTTCCCCCATTGCTTACACACGAGATAGTGTGTGTGTGTGTGTGTGTGTGCATGTTTATAAGCGGGGCTGGAAGTCCTTACTTGTGGACGTGTTTTAAAGTCTTGAGGTCCTGAAGTACCAAAGCTGACAATATGTTATTATATGCCAAGGTAAATTTTAAGAAATTCATTCAAGTGAATACTTCGAGGCAAGTGCTTAAGTGTTCTTAAACAAATTTGATTATTTAATAACTTTTATGCTACTTCAATAGTAGCATTATCTAATCATTAGATTCTATGTAGATTTCTAGGTGAGTGGTTATTATTATTATTATTATTTCTACGAATTATTTTAGAGACAAATTATTTTTGTCTTTCGGATGATATAATGCCTGAAGCATATATATACTTGTGGCATAGAGCCTGATATATATTAACTCTTGATAGAGTCATACACATTAGAAACTTAATCCTATTGTAAGGATAAAAAGTAATGGTAACACAAATTATATTTATAAGCAAATTGTGCACATAAATAATACTTAATAATAATAAATCTCAGACATTGAGTGTAAGCTCAAAGAAGCTAATCAAATACTGCGAAGTAGTAATTCGAAAAGTGATATCATACTTATTGGGTGATAGTTTGAGACCATACCAACGCAGTGTAAATTGTGTTTCCATACTGTCTGTAGCAGAATTGTCCTTATACTATACTATACATACATGAATAATTGAAACATGTGTTGCATGAAGTTTAAGATTTTTAATAAATGACCAATTTAAGATCAACCCAGGTTTAAACCAAATGCCGTATAAGACATCCAGTATATAAATGCTTCTTACATAAGAAAATGACAAGACCGTCTATTCTGTAACACCGTCCCCAAATATATTTACTTTTATGTAAATAATGTATTGAACCTTATTAAAGGATTAATAAATTTACGAGGTTGTAAATTTTTTATTATTTCTTTCGCGTGAATAGTAAATTGCACGTGGGACCCACACCCGGAGCGGGGGCCGCCCGACACTCCCGAGACCACATATTTTATTCATCTTGGTCAAGATAATATTTACATAGTGGTGGATATTTTATTTGGGTCGTGAAAAGGCGCAGAGTTGACCGATTGGGAAAAAGAGGCCCAATTACCGGTACCGACAATTTAACAGATAACAGCCCGGAAATGAATTTCGGAGGTTTATAAATTAAAGTTGGGGAATGTATATTCATTATACATGTCATAATGAGTAAGAGCACATAATATATTTTATTTGACCTGATAAAATAAAATATATTTAAAACAGTCCGAAAAATACAACTTTCGGGACCGATTGTACACATCGGGACACAAAGGGATGACCTCCCACATGAGTGGGGGCCACCCCACGTTTTTATGTGCTAAACACATCAATTGAGAGCTGGGTTGACAAGAGGAAATGAGGAGGAGATGCATTTGGCATCAAAAGTACAATGGGGAGGACCCATTCCCACATTATTTTGAGAGAAAAGCCAAAGAGGCTATCTCCTCACTCACCCACCCCATAATTTCGGCCAAGGCACACCAAGAGAACAAGGAGACCTCTGCAAACTCATCTTCCATAGCCAAAATTCGAGCTCAAGCCATAGGGTTCCAAGAAGGAAGATTAAAGAGGGAAAAAGTTGGGAAAAGTGTGAATAATTAAGGTAATGACCTTATTATAACTTCTCCTTTATTTTTCTTCTACCATATGAGGTATATATCATGTGAAGGACCCCTAGTATGGTCTACATGCTATAAGTATGGATTAATGGGTTGGAAAGTGATTCTATGTCCAAGAACGGACTTAGAAGCCAAAACGACCGGTTCACCGGAAAATAACCTTTTATAGGTTATTTGTATTGATTAAGGTTTTATGATGTTAAAACCTTGTTAGGCACTTGTAAAGGGTATCTCAAGTGATTTCACAAAGTTGGAAAAGTCGCCGGAGTTTTCGCCGGAGTTGACCAAAAGTCGCCGGAGTTTCACCGGAGTTCAACCAAGAAGAGTAGAACTTCATACGCTAGTTCAAGGTGAGTGGACGGCTTAATATCTTATAACTTTTGGGTCAATTATGAGATTACCTAAATAAATGTTATATGTGTGCATAATGATGTTTAAAAGATATTTAAACATGTGATTACCCAACATAGTTAAGTTTGTATGAAAGAAATAGATTGTTTATGCATAGAATATGATATGAAGAATTATATAAAATGCATATTTGCTTGAAGTGTATTAGAAGCACAAATGAATATTTTAACTTAATTATGCGATGATTAAGTTGATTTGTACAAGGTTTGAAATGGCGGTCAACGACCACGTTGACCGGTGGATAATGGATTAATTAATACCGGTCGATATTAATTAATTGTACATTTACATAATTGTATGGCTTGCATGGAATGTGATACATAAGTTTTATGTATTGGATTAGTTATGAATGGCTAAATATGATATAGACCCTATCTAGTGTGATATGTGGTAAGTCATAGGTCGGGTGGAGTACCCAAGGATCGGGCGGTTATCCTCAAAACTCAGTTATATAGGGTGGAGTACCCAAGGATCGGGCGGTTATCCTCAAAACTCGGTTATATAGGGTGGAGTACCCAAGGATCGGGCGGTTATCCTCAAAACTCGGTTATATAGGGTGGAGTACCCAAGGATCGGGCGGTTATCCTCAAAACTCGGTTATATAGGGTGGAGTACCCAAGGATCGGGCGGTTATCCTCAAAACTCGGTTATATAGGGTGGAGTACCCAAGGATCGGGCGGTTATCCTCAAAACTCGGTTATATAGGGTGGAGTACCCAAGGATCGGGCGGTTATCCTCAAAACTCGGTTATATAGGGTGGAGTACCCAAGGATCGGGCGGTTATCCTCAAAACTCGGTTATATAGGGTGGAGTACCCAAGGATCGGGCGGTTATCCTCAAAACTCGGTTATATAGGGTGGAGTACCCAAGGATCGGGCGGTTATCCTCAAAACTCGGTTATATAGGGTGGAGTACCCAAGGATCGGGCGGTTATCCTCAAAACTCGGTTATAGGGTGGAGTACCCAAGGATCGGGCGTGTATCCTCAAAACTCATAGGCTACATTTAATGATCTAGGACCGGACGGTGTCCTTATGATAATTTATTTGAACAAGGAGGAGTTCTATACACTCATAGGTATATGGGTGGGTTGGGATTTAAGTCAAGGATATTGGCTACTATTATTTTCCCAAATAAACAATGACCTACGGGTCGGGTATTTCCAAGTGTATGTATACTAATATGTATTTCAAACTTGGGGGGAGGACTATACGTATATGTATCATCCTATGTTTGGGTCTTATACTTGAAACGCTAGTTATTCTATATTTAGCCTGCTACTCGCTCGGTACTTGTACTGACCCCTTCGGGGGGCCCCACCATTCTCAGGTTGAAGCTAGGGCTTGCCACCTGCACCTTCCTACGGGTGACATCAAATCAAGGAAGACGTGGTTCGTGCTTCCTCATTTTATTTCAAATTACCAACCATTGCTCATGGATATTTTTATTTGTTATAAACTATTCTTTTGGGGCTTGCATGCCCATGTTATTGGCCGGTTGTGGCTTATGACTTACCGTTGAATATTTCCGCTATTCATTGGTTTAAATGTGATGTTGTTATGTATGTTTACTACTGAGTATGGATGGATTATTTTTTCTCGAACGCCTTGTGTAATCAAGTGAGGTTGACTCGCGGGTGACATCACTTGATTTCACGGCGGTTGTACACGCGCTTGGATTGCGGTCTGGGGCGTGACAATTAAGTGGTATCAGAGACATCTCAGTTCTAAACTATATAATCAACCTCTCACAAAAGATTTTACAAAAGAGTTCTTACCGAAAACCATGAGCATTGTATTTTAACGTTTATAGGACTATTGGTGCTTAAGTTGCAAGGCCTCTAATTGTTAAGACGGTACCCTTAACAATTGGTATGGTGGTGACTTGGGTCGATACGTGTCTATAACGTTTTTCTGTCAATTGACATTCATAGGAGTCTAAAGACTCGTCCAAATTCCGTTTCAGAAATGGAGGGTAAGCGAATGGCAACAAGAAATGACCCTAAGGGACAAGCGTCGGTAGCTTACCTTGAGGCTAGCCGGGCTGTGTCACGAGCCTTTACGGGGAGAGGAATAGGCCATGGGGGCCGTGAGGGCCGCCAAGCGGCAAACGCTAATCAAGTGGGCTCGATGTGTAACATGAACACCAGGAGGAACGAACGTAGGCGTCAGGCGAGGCGAGATCGGGCCACCTCCCAACGTGATATGACTGTCAGCCAAACCCATCCTTGGGCAAACGACCAAGGAGGAGAAAGCACTCTTACGGCACCGGCATCACCGGTGAAAAAGAAAAGGAACTCAAAGTGGCACACGTCCTTTCCTAACTCCTTAAGACCATCCAAATGTTCTAATTGCTCTAAGAAACATTTTGGAAAGTGCAACGAGCCCCCGATGTGCTACAAATGTGGGAGCACAACCCATATGAAATTAAGTTGCCCATGGAGGAGGCAACGAGAGACATTGCAAGCCGAGGAAGGGCTCACCGTGGAAGGAAACCATACGGAACCAACGATGAGCAACGCTACGTCCGTCAATCAAGGCGGGGCCCAAGCAAGGGTCTACGCAATGACCGAGGCGGATGCGAGAGCAAACCCGGACTCCGTTGCAGGTAAACACGTATTCCCATGTATTTCTAGGCTTACTTTGGTCATATACGTCGTTGGGATTGAGTGCGGGCCACCCCGGGGTCAAACCGGGTGAGTTAGGCCGAATCGGGCTGGAAACAGCCACTGCTGGCCAGGCACGCCCGCAGGCACGCCGTGCCTGGCATCGTGCCTGGAAGGCAGTGGCACCCGAAGAAGAAGAAAAAAAAAAAAAAAAAAATTGGGCCAGGCACGGCCGCAGGCACGCCGTGCCTGGCGTCGTGCCTGGAAGGCAGTGTGTCCGAAGGAATTTTTGGCCAGGCACGGCCGAAGGCACGCCGTGCCTGGCATCGTGCCTGGCCGGCAGTGGCAAGCAGGGTGAGATTGTTGCACGCACGGCCGTGCGTGCCACCCAGGCACGCCGTGCGTGGACCCCCAACACCCGAAAGTTGATTTTTTCGCCCCGTTCTTCTACGTTTGGACCCCGTTTGTTTCCAAACATTAGTATTAACTTAATAACCTCCTAAAGATGTGTAAAAACACTAGAAAATGTATCTTACATGGTGTATAAATGTAGGAACATTAAAGATCAATGGTAGGTGTGCGAGGATCCTCATCGATACCGGGGCACAACGCTCATTCGTGAGTGAGGCGTTCGCCGAGGGCCTTGGCGTGCCATTGACACCTATGACGCAAGCGTTGCTAGTCTCCACACCGTTAAGAGACGACGTGGAGAGAGATCATTACTATCCCTCGTGTGAGGTAGAAGTGACGGGTCAACCTTTGACTTGTGATTTCGTACCTCTGAGCATGTTGGAGTTCGATGCAATCCTAGGAATGGATTGGCTCGAGAAACACCATGCTCGAGTAGATTGTTACACCAAGGTGTTGGAGCTCGAGGATGATCAAGGAAACACGCTATGTTTCGAAGGAGATCGGGGGAAATCTAATGCTTGTATCATATCCGTGATGAGAGCACGGAAGATGATGAGGAAGGGATGTCACGCATACCTTGCTTACGTGGTAGATGATACGAAGAAAGAAGTCGACATCAAGGATGTTCGAGTCGTGTGCAAGTACCCGGACGTCTTTCCCAAGGACCTACCGGGGCTTCCACCCGATAGAGAGATTCAATTTGTAATCGAAGTGGAGCCGGGGACCAAACCCAATTCGATTCCTCCTTATCGAATGGCACCGGCCGAACTTCAAGAGTTGAAGGTCCAACTACAAGAACTATTGGACAACGGGTTCATCTGACCCAGTCATTCACCGTGGGGAGCACCCGTACTATTCGTAAAGAAGAAAGATGGTACATTAAGAATGTGTATCGACTACCGACAGTTGGACAAGGTCACCATCAAGAACAGGTATCCCTTACCGAGGATTGATGACTTGTTCGATCAACTTCGAGGAGCAATAGTGTTCTCGAAGATTGACTTGAGGTCGGGGTATCATCAGTTGAAGATCAAGGAGAGTGACATACCTAAGAGTGCATTTCGCACTAGATATGGTCATTATGAATTCCCGGTGATGTCGTTTGGTTTAACCAACGCACCGGCGGCATTCATGGACTTGATGAACCGTGTGTTTAGTGAATACTTAGACCAATTTGTGATAGTATTCATTGACGATATCTTAATATACTCCAAGAGCGAGGAGGAGCACGAACATCATTTGGGGCTTATACTTGATCGGCTAAGGGAAAAGCAACTCTTTGCCAAGTTCTCTAAATGCGAATTTTGGCTCAAGGAGATTGGTTTCCTCGGTCATGTCATATCTGGTTCGGGCGTTGCTGTGGATAACGCCAAGATAAAAGCTATCATGGATTGGGAGAGACCCGAGAATGTGAAAGAGATACGTAGTTTCCTTGGCCTAGCGGGATACTATCGTAAATTTGTTGAGAAATTCTCCGTATTGGCGTCCCCATTAACGAAGCTCACAAAGAAAGGGGCCAAGTTTATATGGGACGACAAGTGTGAGAAAGGGTTCCTTGAACTGAAGAAACGACTTACCGAAGCACCAGTCCTAGCCCTACCCATACAGGGGATATGGTATGATATCTACAGTGATGCTAGCATCCAAGGGCTTGGATGTGTACTGATGCAAAACGGTAAAGTGATTGCCTATGCTTCAAGGCAATAAAGAAAGCACGAGGTGAACTACCCTACCCATGATCTAGAATTAGGGGCGGTAGTGTTTGCACTGAAAATCTGGAGGCATTATCTCTACGGGGAGACATGTCACATTTTTACAAACCATAAGAGCTTGAAGTACGTATTCACTCAGAAAGAGTTGAATATGAGGCAGAGGAGATGGATGGAGTTGATCAAGGACTATGACTTGATCATCGACTATCATCCCGGAAAGGCCAATGTCGTGGCCGACGCACTGAGCAGGAAGAATACGACAGGGACGCTACTCACATGTCTACAGGCATTGAGGGCACGCGTGGAGGTGTCCATGTGTGGGGCTCTCATTGCTCGATTCGAGGTTAGGCCCACCCTATTGGGCGAGATTAGTCGAAGTCAGGCCATGGATGAGGAATGTCAGAAGATCCGTGAAGGGATCCTTGCGGGGCCCGTTGAGAACTTCCGAGTACGTGATGACGGTCTATTATTGTTTAAGGATCGTGTATGCATACCAAAGAATGAGGAACTCCAGAAGTCTATACTTGAGGAGGCTCATTCTTCAGCTTATGCTATGCATCCAGGAGGTACTAAGATGTACCGAGATTTGAAGGAAAGTTACTGGTGGTCAGGTATGAAGAGAGACATCGCAGAGTATGTGAGTCGATGCCTTACTTGCCAGCAAGTTAAGGCAGAACATCAGCACCCGGCAGGGCTTTTGCAACCACTCACCATCCCAGAGTGGAAGTGGGAGCACGTGACCATGGACTTCGTGGTGGGGCTACCACGAACAGTGAACAACTATGACGCAGTACGGGTAGTGGTTGATAGGCTCACCAAGAGTGCACACTTTCTGCCTATCAACATTACTTATCCTCTTGAAAGATTGGCCAAGCTCTACACAGAGGAGATTGTGAGATTGCATGGAGTCCCAATATCCATTGTCTCGGATAGGGATCCACGATTCACATCCCGATTTTGGCCAAAGTTTCAAGCATCGTTGGGTACTAAACTGAAGTTTAGCACAGCTTTTCACCCACAGACGGATGGACAGTCTGAACGGGTGATACAGATTTTGGAAGACATGCTTAGGGCATGTGCGCTGGAGTTCCAAGGAAGTTGGGACAAGCATTTGGCCCTAATGGAGTTTGCCTATAACAACAGTTATCGGGCAAGTATCGGCATGCCCCCATATGAGGCATTGTATGGGAGGAAATGCAGAACACCGTTGTGTTGGGACGAGGTTGGCGAGGCCAAACTCGAAGGGATAGAGCTGGTTGAGATCACCAAGGCCAAGGTGAGGATCATTCGGGACAGACTGAAGACCGCTCAGGACCGACAGAAAAGTTATGCTGATAAACGGCGGAGACCGTTAGAGTTCGAAGTCGGTGATGAGGTCTTCCTAAGGATTTCTCCTTGGAAGGGCATCATTCGATTTGTATCAAGGGGAAAGCTTAATCCCCGATACATCGGTCCATTTGAAATCCTTGAAAGAATAGGGGCCGTGGCTTACCGTCTCAAGTTGACGCCTGAACTTGAGAAGATACATGACGTGTTTCATGTATCAGTGCTCAAGAAGTACATACGAGACCCATCTCATATTCTTGAGAGACCACCGGTAGAGATCCGTGAGGACTTGCAATATGCGGTGGAACCAGTGAAGATTGTTGGTCAACAAGTGAAGAAGCTTAGGAATAAGGAGATTCCTATGGTAAAGGTTCTTTGGAGGAGTGATCGAGTCGAAGAAGAAACTTGGGAGACCGAGATCTCAATGAGGGAGCAATACCCATTTCTTTTCGATTAGATACTTGGATTTCGGGGACGAAATCCCAAATAAGGGGGGGTGAACTTGTAACACCGTCCCCAAATATATTTACTTTTATGTAAATAATGTATTGAACCTTATTAAAGGATTAATAAATTTACGAGGTTGTAAATTTTTTATTATTTCTTTCGCGTGAATAGTAAATTGCACGTGGGACCCACACCCGGAGCGGGGGCCGCCCGACACTCCCGAGACCACATATTTTATTCATCTTGGTCAAGATAATATTTACATAGTGGTGGATATTTTATTTGGGTCGTGAAAAGGCGCAGAGTTGACCGATTGGGAAAAAGAGGCCCAATTACCGGTACCGACAATTTAACAGATAACAGCCCGGAAATGAATTTCGGAGGTTTATAAATTAAAGTTGGGGAATGTATATTCATTATACATGTCATAATGAGTAAGAGCACATAATATATTTTATTTGACCTGATAAAATAAAATATATTTAAAACAGTCCGAAAAATACAACTTTCGGGACCGATTGTACACATCGGGACACAAAGGGATGACCTCCCACATGAGTGGGGGCCACCCCACGTTTTTATGTGCTAAACACATCAATTGAGAGCTGGGTTGACAAGAGGAAATGAGGAGGAGATGCATTTGGCATCAAAAGTACAATGGGGAGGACCCATTCCCACATTATTTTGAGAGAAAAGCCAAAGAGGCTATCTCCTCACTCACCCACCCCATAATTTCGGCCAAGGCACACCAAGAGAACAAGGAGACCTCTGCAAACTCATCTTCCATAGCCAAAATTCGAGCTCAAGCCATAGGGTTCCAAGAAGGAAGATTAAAGAGGGAAAAAGTTGGGAAAAGTGTGAATAATTAAGGTAATGACCTTATTATAACTTCTCCTTTATTTTTCTTCTACCATATGAGGTATATATCATGTGAAGGACCCCTAGTATGGTCTACATGCTATAAGTATGGATTAATGGGTTGGAAAGTGATTCTATGTCCAAGAACGGACTTAGAAGCCAAAACGACCGGTTCACCGGAAAATAACCTTTTATAGGTTATTTGTATTGATTAAGGTTTTATGATGTTAAAACCTTGTTAGGCACTTGTAAAGGGTATCTCAAGTGATTTCACAAAGTTGGAAAAGTCGCCGGAGTTTTCGCCGGAGTTGACCAAAAGTCGCCGGAGTTTCACCGGAGTTCAACCAAGAAGAGTAGAACTTCATACGCTAGTTCAAGGTGAGTGGACGGCTTAATATCTTATAACTTTTGGGTCAATTATGAGATTACCTAAATAAATGTTATATGTGTGCATAATGATGTTTAAAAGATATTTAAACATGTGATTACCCAACATAGTTAAGTTTGTATGAAAGAAATAGATTGTTTATGCATAGAATATGATATGAAGAATTATATAAAATGCATATTTGCTTGAAGTGTATTAGAAGCACAAATGAATATTTTAACTTAATTATGCGATGATTAAGTTGATTTGTACAAGGTTTGAAATGGCGGTCAACGACCACGTTGACCGGTGGATAATGGATTAATTAATACCGGTCGATATTAATTAATTGTACATTTACATAATTGTATGGCTTGCATGGAATGTGATACATAAGTTTTATGTATTGGATTAGTTATGAATGGCTAAATATGATATAGACCCTATCTAGTGTGATATGTGGTAAGTCATAGGTCGGGTGGAGTACCCAAGGATCGGGCGGTTATCCTCAAAACTCAGTTATATAGGGTGGAGTACCCAAGGATCGGGCGGTTATCCTCAAAACTCGGTTATATAGGGTGGAGTACCCAAGGATCGGGCGGTTATCCTCAAAACTCGGTTATATAGGGTGGAGTACCCAAGGATCGGGCGGTTATCCTCAAAACTCGGTTATATAGGGTGGAGTACCCAAGGATCGGGCGGTTATCCTCAAAACTCGGTTATATAGGGTGGAGTACCCAAGGATCGGGCGGTTATCCTCAAAACTCGGTTATATAGGGTGGAGTACCCAAGGATCGGGCGGTTATCCTCAAAACTCGGTTATATAGGGTGGAGTACCCAAGGATCGGGCGGTTATCCTCAAAACTCGGTTATATAGGGTGGAGTACCCAAGGATCGGGCGGTTATCCTCAAAACTCGGTTATATAGGGTGGAGTACCCAAGGATCGGGCGGTTATCCTCAAAACTCGGTTATATAGGGTGGAGTACCCAAGGATCGGGCGGTTATCCTCAAAACTCGGTTATAGGGTGGAGTACCCAAGGATCGGGCGTGTATCCTCAAAACTCATAGGCTACATTTAATGATCTAGGACCGGACGGTGTCCTTATGATAATTTATTTGAACAAGGAGGAGTTCTATACACTCATAGGTATATGGGTGGGTTGGGATTTAAGTCAAGGATATTGGCTACTATTATTTTCCCAAATAAACAATGACCTACGGGTCGGGTATTTCCAAGTGTATGTATACTAATATGTATTTCAAACTTGGGGGGAGGACTATACGTATATGTATCATCCTATGTTTGGGTCTTATACTTGAAACGCTAGTTATTCTATATTTAGCCTGCTACTCGCTCGGTACTTGTACTGACCCCTTCGGGGGGCCCCACCATTCTCAGGTTGAAGCTAGGGCTTGCCACCTGCACCTTCCTACGGGTGACATCAAATCAAGGAAGACGTGGTTCGTGCTTCCTCATTTTATTTCAAATTACCAACCATTGCTCATGGATATTTTTATTTGTTATAAACTATTCTTTTGGGGCTTGCATGCCCATGTTATTGGCCGGTTGTGGCTTATGACTTACCGTTGAATATTTCCGCTATTCATTGGTTTAAATGTGATGTTGTTATGTATGTTTACTACTGAGTATGGATGGATTATTTTTTCTCGAACGCCTTGTGTAATCAAGTGAGGTTGACTCGCGGGTGACATCACTTGATTTCACGGCGGTTGTACACGCGCTTGGATTGCGGTCTGGGGCGTGACATATTCTCCCAATATTGTAAAAGTGGATCCATGGGAGTTAAGTGAACTTAAAGTATCACAATGTGGGTTAATAATATTAAATTTGGTCTCAAGAATATGCTCTATTGAAATGTTGACATGTAATGAGTGGTATAAGACCACTTTGCCAGCTTTTATGAAATATAGTGAAGAGCATAAAATACCCACATAATATATCTATCATTATAAGATGAATGTTTTGCATGAGATAACCTGCTAGAAAGTTGCCTAAATATATTAAGAAAATTTAGTTTATATTAATTCAGCATTGGTTAATAACTAGCCCCCAAAAGTTTACACGTTGAAATGAGCCAAAGTGTGCCAATATTGAAACCCCATTTTCGAAATGATGTACTTGGACCCCCAGAAGTGGCTCTACATGTATGTAAATCCTTGTTCAAGAACATTACGACACATTTCCTGACATTAGGGGGAGATTATAAAGGCATGAGCATAATTATATTTTGGAATGTCGGGAAAATATTCCAGAAGGATTATTTGATATGAAAAGATAAACGTGTAAAATATGATAAATAAACTGACAAAGTGACTGAAAGAAATGACTCTAAAGTGTGAGCTCAACCAATGCATGAAGCATGGTTAGACGGTCATTATGTGTATATAAAATATGACCGGTTTTTATTATAATAAGTCACTTATGCCTCTACAAGCGAATGATATAAGTTAAATATTGCAGCTGATAAGTTTTAGAAACTACATGATACAGAACATGAGTTCCTCTTGTATGGCTCATATAGAGGATTTTGATGAAACGAGAATCATATTGATTAAGATTGCCGTCAATGATTTATTTTTCCGAAACCATCGATTCATAATCCATAATAACAAAGTCTGGCCAGATGAAATGTGATGGACCTGTAGTACTAAAATTTTGTGAATTATGATCGATGTTTATGGATGAGAAAATATTTTGGGGCTGAAGTCCCACAAATCAAGATATTGTGTACATGGGGTGCCAATATTTGAGATTAAATGATTTTGAGATTACATTCATGTTATAGTTTGAAGTTCTATAAATCTGGCAGTTAATGAGAGAATTGGATGTCATTGTTATAATATCAATTGTGTGTCTCTGAAGGACAATGGTGAAAAGAAATATGTGCACACAAGATGCAACTTGAATATGAATTCTTTTATGTCTATAATAATTAGATAGAGACAGTATGCTTTTAATTATAGACTTATCATTATTTTGGAAAAGAATTTGGAATTGATTGAATAACTCCAACAGTTGGAAATGCAGTAAAATTCTAAGCATAGTTGGAAATATAGAAAGAGATGTTTGTGCCTAATTAACCACCACCTGGGTGATCACATTAATTAAGTCTTGATGACATGATTTATTTTGTGAAGAACTATGCTTGATTATCATGGTAGTGCAAATTATTTTATTCAATATCATGATTGAACAAGGTTTTTGCACCATGTCAAAATATCACTTGTAGTGAGTGCCTCCTGTAGAGGATCTAATCTGAACACTTTTCTTATGTGTTTTCACATGATTTAATGACTAGAATTTAAACTAATTTAAAGTGAGCTATACTCGTACTACTTCTCAACCTTTCCTGCAGAAAGAGTTGAATGAGGATAACATTATGCAATGAATGAGCAATTACTCAAAAACCTTGTATTTGTTGGAGGCTCTTAAGCATCTAGCAAAACCTAGAAACAACACATGAGAATCTTTTGATTTGAATGGTGTTTGATTAATAATAAATATCTAGTCAGTATATTGTGAGCACCTAAAGTGTTTGTATACTAAGTTGAGATCCTAGGGGGATCAAAACATGTCTCATTTAAGTTTTATAGACCAGTATTTGAGAATACTCAATTATTGAATATTTGATGTGCATAATAACAATAAATTTCATGGCCATGAAATACACATTGCAGAATCATAGACAATTGTTTCCGCTTAGAAACTCTTGAAGAGTTTGGTGACTAATGTTCATCGGATCTGTATAAATATTGATGGAGGTTTATATACTAAAGATTTTCATCAGCTCAAATTATGTGGAGTTTATTGTATATTTTCACCTAAATATTGAGTTGTTGAAGTGAAACAATTAATTGGTCCAGAAGACCATGTGATATTCCTTTTTCTTAGCCAAGTTTTTTCCCAAAGGTTTTAAGGTATTTTGTGGTTTTAATGAATGAGAAAGATTCATAACATTCGGAAACGATTATCCTCTATAAGAGTGATTCTAATATTAGTTCAGAAGACAGTATCCTGAAGGTATTAATTGGTCCTTATGAGATCGAACAATTTATTAGTCCGGAAGACCATATGCAACTGTACACTTTTTCCTTAACCAAGTTTTGTCTCATAGGGTTTTCTTGGTCAAAGGTTTTAACGAGGTAGTTTGTCACTTTGAATAATATATTATTTTTCTCTAGAAGAGTAAATTTAAATGCAATCAAGAAGATTAGGGGGGTGTTTGGAACTGATTCTGATTCTGCTTCATTTTTAAAGTAGAAGCAGAATCAGAATCAGTTTTGAGAAGCTGGTCTCCTCCAGCTTCTAAAAAAACTGATTCTAGGAGTAAATTAGAGCACCAGAATCACTTCTGCACTTTCACCCAAACACTCCAACTTCTGCTTCTGCTCTCTGAATGAGCAGAAGCAGTTTTAAGAATTAGATCCAAACACCCCCTAGGCCCCAAAGGCCAATGACTGTACTCTTTTCCTTTACTATGTTTTTTCACATGGTTTTCTTAGTTAAAGGTTTTTAATGAGGCAGTCAATGCAACACATCATTGTACATATATTATGCACTCTTTTCCTTTATTGATTTTTTCCCAAAGGGGTTTTCCAACAAGGTTTTTAATGAGGCATGCACATTGTATAATCTTTCCAGGGCCGGCTATATGGCCAGTTAACCCAGGCAGCTGCCTAGGGCCTCACAATATTAAAGGGCCTCAAAACACAAAGTTACTAGTATACGGAGTATTTGATATCTGGAAATTGGATAATTCTTCGACTCCCAGGCTTCCCGATACACCCGAATGACTCTCAATTCCTCTTTGCTCCTTTCAACTTTTGCTCTTCTTCCGGGATTTCCGTAATTGGGTATGAGTAACCAAAATAGGGAGGAGTAAATTTATCATGACCCACACCCGTTTTAGATTTCAGACCATTGTTAGTACTTAGGGAGTGTTTGCAAGTGCTTCTGCTTAAAAAAGCACTTTTGGAGATGTAATGAAAAAGTGATTATTAGTAAAAGTTGATAGTGTTTGAGAAAAAAGTGATTTTGAAAAGTAAAAGTTGGTAGTGTTTGGTAAAATAAGTGCTTTTTGTGTAATAGAAAAGGGAAAAACACTTTTCACACGCAAGCCGAGAAAAAGTAAAAATTGGAAGTGTTTGGTAAATAAGTGCTTTTTAAGCCAAAATCTGAGAAGTGCTTTTTTTAAGCTATTGCAAACACTCCCTTAGTAGTTACGTTATTGCCAAATGCCCACTGCCCAGTTTACATTTTGTCAATATTTAATTTATATGCACTTCTTTATCATTTTTGGTTGATAATAATTGCTATTTTGCATATATGATTTATATGCACTTCTTTATCATTTTTGGTTGATAATAATTGCTATTTTGCATATATGTTTAGCATACGTTCTATCTATTAAGTTTTTTTAATCACTTTACTTGTTCCCATGTTTGTTATTTTCTCCCTAATTTTTCACTTCAAAAGGAAAAAAGAGAGATATTAAAAAGTACAATTTTGGTACATTTTGTATATATTACATTTAAATTAATGTTTAAATATGGTGAATTTGTATTCATTTTATCATTTTTTATAACTTTGTGTTATACAAATCACATTAGTATGATATGTTAATATTAAGAGCCTGTTTGCTATCATTGAAATTGGTTGAATCGACTGATTCTACTTAAATTTATGAAAACTTACAGAACTGGATAGATTGACTGATTTTGATGATTTATAAAAAAATTATATTTAAAATATTTTGTTAATAAAATAATGAATAAACTATATGAAAAATAGCTAAATTGATCCTCTACATATAGTAATTTCGGCCAATACGTCAAAATAGTAACTTCAACAGGTCAACCTTATAAGCCTCAAAAGTCGAACAACAGAGTCACCAAATGGTCTCTAAGTCATTTCCGCCTAGGGCCCTCAAAATGCTCAAGATGGCCCTGAATCTTTCATTCGAGAAGCTAGTACCAGATTGGATCGAATTGGATTCAACAAGAAGTCCTGAATCAATGCAGTCATTAGGGGGAGTATACACGCGTTGTACTCTTTTTTCCTTGAGCAAGGTTTTGTCCCACAGGGTTTTCCTCGACAAGGTTTTTAACGAGGCAGCATTACCGTTATCTATAAAGAGATTGATGCGTGTTTTTTTCTTGTAATGTTTTTTTTAGAAATGTACATCCAAGGGGGGGTGTTATGTAATTATGTGGATGTCCATTAACTCACAGGCCTACATGTATTGGCCCATGACCATGTATGTAACCATAGCTCCCCTTCCCTTATATATATGCCTATATGTGAATGAATGAAATGCTTTTGGTTCTCGGTTCATAACATGTGTGTGTGTGTGTGTAAGCATTCCAGCCCAGCTGGTTGTGAGGTTATCGTGCCTAGTGGGAGGTCTGTTCAAATCCCGCTAGGCACACAAGGGTTGGAAACTCAATGGAGTGAATTTCAGTCCTGATTACTCCAGACTCCCCCAGCCCCCCTCTCCCAGAACCCCCCTGGAGTAAAAAGAGGTTATTTTGAATATTTCAATGTTGAAGGTGCTTTAAATCGTGTGAAATAAACATGAGCTTATAGCACCGCTTATATTATGTGTTGCTTTTAATTAGTATTGTATAATGGTAGATTCTATGGTACCCCTAAGGTACCATACCTTTGTCCACATGGACCAATGATAATAATGCAGTTGAATTATTTAAATCTAAATTAAAAATGATAAAATGATGTGATCCAATCAAATGAATGATAGGTACGATACCCCAATTTTTAAAAGGGTATCGGAGTTGTCACCTTGTATAATAACTCGTGAAGTAAACATGCCCTAAATCTAGGCTTGGTCAAACTTTGTGGCCTTGTGGCAGTTGTGGGTGTCTGTCAACTGCCCCAATTCTGAAATACAGCCCAAATATTCTGTCAGTCGAAGAAATTTTAGAGTCCAACACTCAACTAGGCCCAAGATACAACTTAAAACGCAATAATAGATTCCTTCACCCCAAAAAGACTACACGAGCGGCCTACCTCTATCGCACGTAGTCAAACCCAAATGGCTGCCGATCCCAAGGAAACATGCAGCTCAAATTTATGCAAATTCAGCCCAGCTGCCAGACTCAAAACTTGGCCTAGTTCCAC